GGCAACATACATGATCAGTAGACCAGAAACAAAGCCCTATGAGGAGAGATTGAGAGAACTGGGCTTTCAATCCCCTTAGAAGAGAAGACTGAGGGGAGATATGATAACACTTTTAAAATACTTGGAAGGCTATTACACAGAGGAGGGCCATGGTCTCTTCTCAAGTGCATGACACAGAATAATGGGCTCAAGTTACAGGAAGTCAGATTCCACCTGGTTATCAAGAAAAACTTCCTGACTATTGGAGCAGTGCAGCAATGGAACCAATCATCTAGGGAGGTTTTGAGTTCATATACATTGCAGGCATTCCAGAGGCAATTGCAGTTCCAAAGCCATTTGACAGGGATCTTCATCTTGGAGTCCTGTGTTGAGCAAGGGGTTGGACTTGATGGTTTTATAGGCCCCTTTCTGCTCTATGATTCTGTGAGATTTATTCGACTCTTTGCCTCACCCATGATGGGTAAGGTTTCTTGCACTATAGTGCAAGAAGGGGCTAAGCAAAGTCCGAGGGTTTCAGAAAAGAGGAAACATCACAAAATTTGTCATCTCATGACAGAGGATCTGAGCATGTGTAGAATGTCAGCGCTATGGTGATAATGCTAAGAAAAATACTGGGCTTGATGGACATCACACTAAACCAACTTTCCCCAATGTGGTGCTTTCTAGATGTTTTGGATTTCAACTCTCAGTCGCCCCTATCAGCATCACCAATAGTCAGGAATGTAGCTATGCCAGAAAAGGAGAGGGATGGAGAGCATGCAAGCCCAGACCTCACTGCAGCTTTTTTGTATCACATTAAACAATGGTTTAGTATGATGTTTGGATTTAGTCAATATAAATCATACAACTTTGTCCACCCTTTCAGTCCTAAAAACTATTGGAAGCAGATCCTGTGCATTTCAGTAGATTTTGGTTCCATACTCATGTGCTTGGAATTTAGCCTTTAGCCTCGTGGATAAGTTGAATATGTGAAATACATCATTTTCACCTTACTGCTTCACGATGGTCAGGTTTAATGATATAATAAGTAGCACAATTTTTATAGATAACTTCAATGCCATATCTACTTTAATATAAGGCTCCTGAAGCTTTTATCTGTCAATACTGCCCCTCAAGACTCACATTCTTCCAACTACCCTAACTTGCCTGTCAAAGCAAGATCCATGGAGTTTCAGTGCCTTCATTTCTAACTCACTGATATCTCTCCTATCTCTCCTATTTGTCTCCTCTCAGTCAAGCTGATGGTGCTGTAGGTGGCTGCACCTACCAATAAATGGTTGTTCTCCCAATGGAGAACTGTAAACAGTGGAATACAGAGAGCTGTATTATTTTGAACTGGCAATTTTTAACTTGTTCATAAATGAACTGAAGTAGGCATAGGCAATTTAGTGTCCAAGTTGGTGCTAATGACACCAAACTGTTTAGAATAGTTAAAACAAAAAGAGATTATGAAGTGCTCCAAAGGGATCTCTCCAAAGTATAAGAATGGACATTAGAATGAAAATGCCATTCAGTGAAAATGCCATTTAGTGAAAGCAACTGTAAGGTGAGGCATGTTGGGGCAAGAATTTGCAACTTCACATGCGCAGCGACTGGGTCTGGCAGAAACTGACCAGAAAAGGGGTTTTAGCGTTGGGCTGGATAGCTTGATGGAAATGTCAGCCCAATGTGCAACTGCCATGAAAATGGCGAATTCCATGTTGGGAATCATTAGGGAAGAAACTGAAACTATAATTGTTCATATCATAAGGCCCACATCTGTTTTACTGTGTGGTGCTGGTTGCTACACCTAAAAATGGATATTGTAGAGTTGGAAAAGCTGCTGAAAAGGCTAACCAAAATGGTCAAGTCCTTTTTGAGAAAAAGTTACAATACCTGGATTGTTAAAAAAAAAAAATCGACTCTCTTGCCTGACTGAAACCGTCATGCCTTCCTATTTGCCTGGACTGTGCCCTTGCTTTCTGGATTGCCTGATTCTGTGCAGAGAACAAGATCTGCACAGGAGGAAAAAGTACAGGATGTGATTTGCCGTATTTGCATAGAGCTCTCTTAGAGACAGGACCAATCAATCAATCTTTGCATGGAATATGATAGATTTTGAAAAAGTGCAAATAGCAGCAGCTTGCAGACCAAGTTCTGATGTATTTAATGGGTCTGTTGGCATTTCACAACAGCCCACCATGGGTTAATTTACCCCCGAGAACTGCCACATCATGCAGGGCATCTATGGGTACCATTTTTGCATAGTGTTTCTGGGCACCCTGCATGTCATATTGTATGAACACATATGTGGCAGGGGTTGTTTGAGAGTTATACTCATGGAGATTGTCAGCAATCTGACCTCAAAGAAAATTCTGCCTTTTGTATTTTCAAGCATTGATAATCCACGGAGATTTAGTTTTCATTCATGCTATTTGATCCTCCTTCCCTCTTGAGGTCTTGTGCTCTGATCCTAAAACATTTTATTTTATTATGGATTTCTTTACTGATGGTGCCATGCTTCCTATGGCTCTGCACTGCAGAGTTGTGTGTCAAGAAATGCCTTTGGCCAGAGGTTGTTCACCTTTCCTACAGAATGCCACCTCCTACCGCCATATCATGTACCTGCTCTAAAAGACTTTTCATGGCCAGAGAACATGAATGAAAATAAATTGTTTGGTGGTCTTTAGCAGTTCAAGATAAGAGGAAAAGGGGTTCTGAAAAAGTTGGTACAGAATTGCCATTGCACTGAATTGCAATTTTATAATTTAGAGCAGATAGACTCCAACTTGGCACCCAAGGAAACTTCCAGTAGCACCCACAAAGCTCCTCATTCCTTAATCCCTTCCAAATTATTTTCAATAAAAAGAACCTGGAAAACCATCAGGACACCAGGGACTCTTTCCTGCCTCTGCACCTGCCATTAATTAGCTGTTCAGTAAGCAGAAAGAAAAGGAAAAAGTGTCTTCCTACTCTCACCCAACCTTCCATTCCTGCAGCCCTTCCCCTTTTGTTCTTTCTCTGCTCTCCCAGGCTCTAGCCTTGCTATTTCTTTTGCTCCATTCTTCACAAAATCTCTCCCTTCCCTCTCCCTAACATACTTCCTTTTCTCAATTTCTAACCCTTAGCCTTGCTCTTTCTTTCCCACTCAGCCCTTTATCTTGATGTTTCTCTCTGCCCCCAACTTCCAGTCTTGCTATTTCTCCCCCAACCTGTTTATCTTGCTGTTTTGCCCCACTCCTAGTCTGTTTACCCACTCTTTGTTACGGCTCTATTCCTTTACCTTGCTGTTTTCCCCTCCTTCCCAGCCTTCAGCCTGCCTGTTTTTCTCCTTTCTACCTTTTTTGGCTAGCAGTTCATGACAGAAGTCATTATATATCTAGTAACATTTTTCACTGGGACCTCTTTATGGTAGTGTCCACAGCAGCTTTTTCAAATTAGTAAATATGACCATGGGCTCAAAAGAAGGTGGGCCCCTGATTTAGAGGGTATTTATAGCAATAAGTACCTAGATCAAGATAAGTCAGTTTGTCTATAGCAGCAAATTCTTAAGTAATAAGTAGACAGCCTCTGAGTACCATTTCCCTTACCATGAAGAAACCATAGCTTCTTCCCACACACACATTTAGAGTTAAGAAGTAAGGCTTGCAAAGTAATGTCCCCCCCCTCCACCCCCCCCCCACACAGGAACCTACAAATCCCTGACTGAAAATCAGCAAACCCATATTAGAGAATGCAGACTATCTATTCTTGCCACATATATGAATCACCCATATTTCCCTTTCAGTAACTGTTTACAAAATTACATTCTCCCCAGAACCACCAAATTCTTCCTCTTTCTTCTTCTTCCTACATTTGGCTTTACTTGCATGTAGACCCACCAGGTTCAGTCGAGGAATTTCCAGATGAATTAGGACCGTTGGACAGTAAGGACATGCACTTTGCAGGCAACATTCACAAAGAGGGCCTTTGCTGCTGTACAAGGGTGCTGCTCAACAGATTCTAGAAAGTAATCTGAAATGTAGATGTGGGGCTACTTCTTTTTCAGTAACTTCTGAAGGAAAGTTCCAGGTTTTATAAGAACAGTTGCAGTAGGTTCATCTGTCCCTAATTTATGACCACATAGGTCAGTAAAGTGTAATAAACTCTCTTCCTAGCTTGAAATTAATTTTCTACCACTATCTATCTTGATGAAAACTGGAAAACTGCCAGCATGCCTTTAATTTTATGTATGCTGTACATATGATCTGCACAGTGTGATATAAACTTATGTGGAGTGATTCACTAAATCCAGAAGCTAAATTGCTTATTTATAAATACTATGTTTACATTTTAGAGTTTGCCTGTCATTTACACAGTCTGTTTTTCAACTTTTGGGAAAATTAATGCTAAAAGATAAACATGTATTGTGTCACCAAATGGCTCACATGTTATCCACATGTCTTCATACATTATTTTCTCAATTTAAAAACTAAACCACACTCAAACGATTTAGATGTTGCTAGGTTGTTTTGAATGGAAGCTGCAAAAAAGTAGACTTTAGTAAAATTTCTTTATAAAGCTGCTCACTATATTTTAATAATTATCAGTTGTGTACAGTGTTTGATCTGTAAACATATACAGTCGTTGACAGGAAGCTATGCACTGAAACAACATGAATCTTGCAATTTTATCAGGACAATGCCAGTAGATTTCAGCAAGGTTGGTTCCAACTCATCTGTGATAAATGAGAAGATAAGGCAATCAGTGCACACCATGACACTCTGTGCAGCTAGTTAGACACACTTCAAAACTATTCAGGTGTACTCACAAGGCTTATGAGTCTTACATGGGGGGGTGTCTCAATATAAATACGTCTTTCTTGGTGGCCACTAGAATGCAGGATCTGTTTTTCTAAGACTTAACCCAGGTCAGATATAAATAATAGATGTTAAGAGTTATGGGTTTGGGGATGCATTTCAGACTGTGTGTTTCAGCTGGGTCAAAAGAATGATTTTTTCCCTTTCCTTCCCCTTGTATAGTTCCTTTGCTTGACAAATGCCTGCAAAATTCCATCACACCTTTGCGGGGACCTCTTTGGGTCTCTAAGGGAGAAGGTTTCAGCCCCTCTGGAGCAAAGATGTATATCCAAGGAATACTATTGGCCTTACATCAGCGATTAAAGTCTGCGAAACACTACTGTGAACAGGTGAGTTATTTGGAGTCTTGTAAAGGCTAGTTTTTCTTCTTCATAATTGAAGTTCAGTCCTATGCATGTCTACTCAGAAGTAAGTCCCACTGAATTCAGTGGGATTTACTCTCAAGAAATTGTGTATAGGATTGCAGTCTAGTTGTAGAAAGTCTGTGATTGACACTGAGTCATAAAGAAGTGTGTCATATATTGCATGGGTTCTTGTGCTCAATAGATAGATGTAATGTTTCTCCTTCAATCTCACAGCCAACGATAATGGAGCTAATTGCGTATATCTTTCAATGTGGGGTGTTTAACCTTTTTGTACTGAATACTGTGCATAGCAGGAGCAACTCCTCTAGAAATTATATATAGCCATTCAGCAAAAGGTCACCCATATTTAAACATATGTAATTTTTCATAATTCATTTCTGGAGGTTTTCACCAGGGTTAGAACAGCTAGACCTGAAATATATATGAGATATGTTTTAATCTAAGAACATGTAAACATAAGAAAGAATCATTTTCTTCTCTTAATGTTTTGCTCTGAGGGGCAGTCATCAAAAATTTGCAAGTCAGCCATGAGAAACTTCTTGGGCATATAAAATACATTTAAATTCCACACATGGTACAGAGAATTTTATCTGGGTGTTTTTATAGTTGAAGGCTATCCAATATATTTAGCTTTCTTTTGTCTGCAGTGCATGTCTGTATTTTTCTTAACAGTTTGACATGTGTTTGAATGTATATCAATGTAATTGACCTGAATTGAAATAGAACATGCATGCCTTTTCATTATTGTTAGCTTTGGCACGGTTTGTTTAATTTTTTTTAAAGCAACCATTTTGTAATTAGAAAGTGTTTGTAAATGCTAGGCAGAGTGATTTATCTGATCAAAAATTAATACTGCACCTTATACTAAGATTTACAAGAGATCTCAGGCCACGTACAAAAGGATGAATTCATTATGCTTTCACTCTTCATGAAGGGTAGGGGTGAGTAAGGAAGGGAGAAAGAAGTGGATGTCACTCATGCTGTTTATACAGCACCTCCTGCTGTCAGGCCCATAAAGAGAACTGAACATTTACTTTGGAATAAACTGTTTTGGTCCTCATATAATGGTGATCTACAACAAGTAATCAAGAATATACAACAAAGCAATATCACTGGAAAGAGGCTTGTTTCAGCTAGTGCTTTACCCATTTTAACATTGCTATCCCCTCTCAATAGAATGCTTATTTTTAAACTATTTACTTCATCTATAACACAATTTTGATGCAAATGACTAAGAAATAGATGAACAGTAATGACAAATATCTTAATGTAAATGGAAGTTTTACAATAATTATAACTATGAATCAAATTAATATTAAACAGATTACCTCTGCTACTGGTTTTCAATGTTTATGAATGTATAAGTGGCTATTAACTCACTCCTATTACATTCTGCCAATTTTACAATTCTGTATTCTTTTGATGATGTCAAAGTATTGAAATATGATGGGGGGAGTGAAGGTTTGGCAATGATTCTGAGACCTCTTAGGTTTTGTTTTTTTAAAAGCAGAGAGACAATTTTCTATGCATTTCATTTTTTACAATCACAAAATAAAGGGCTATTAAGCAAACTATTAAGTAACAAGTTACTTCTGGATTAAGAAATACAGTATTGGCTATATGGTCATTGCTACTTTAGTTGCAACAGTATAGTAGGGATACACTGAAGACCATATCCAGTATCCTTTGAACTTTTAGTATTAGTTATCATTTTAAAACTAGACTTAAGTATTTAATGTACATGTAATCATTTTCTTCTTTATTTCTGCTCATTTCTGCTTTCCTTCATCTTCTCTATGATATATATATACACTATATATATTTTCTGGGTACCACTTTTAGCAGCAGTCACTTGTGACCCTTGAAGGTCAATGTGTACAATCGGCAGATGCCCTGTACACTTTGTGCACTTGCACAGGCCTGCCTAGGTCACAGGTCATTGTCAGCACTGGTGCAGTCTGTAGCTTTGACCCCCTGTACAGCTGCAACCCATCTCTTCCCTTGTAAATTAGCATAGGTAACCAGACCTTGTATTCCATGCAGCTTGCAGACTGGGTAATTACTACCAGTACTAGTCTGCTCTTACCAAAAATATTTGTTTTTGTACAGGCCAGTCAGTTTTCCTGAAGAGGAGTGTGGCTGTACAGGCATGTGTCACAGGTGTCTCATCAGCACTTGCAGCTTTACATTTTTCTCACCTTTGCTAAATTAGCACATCAGGTCAAAAGGCTTTAATGGATGTTCTTTTACATAGGCAAACCATTTCAAAGAGTGCTCTTCATTGTGTACTGTGATGTAATGTTCTCAGAGTGAAATGCCCCTTGACTGTTTCTAAACTCAAAGTTTTAGATAGTCATATCATGTCTTTATTTTATAATCTTCTAATCTTATCCAGATTGATGTATAAAAAGCATAAAAATGTTGAGAAATACTTGTCACTTGATTTAGCTGAGTTTGGGGTAGGGATGTACAAATGCAGACAAAACCTTCCAAGAAGTATAATGTAGTGGTGACAACGCTAGAGTAGAGCAGATAATTCTATTAAAATGTTTCCTCTAATATTCAGTCAATCTATATTAATGTGCACAATGAGCAATCACAGCACCACATATTTTCCCCTAGAGGTCTAGTTTACCTGCCAGCAGTAGTGTAGTGTTCAAGGATCTGACTGGCGTCAAAATATTCACTTCGCAAAGCAACTTTCTTTCTGCCTATGTTTCCATGTCATCAAGAGGGTGAATATTCTTTAATTGCCTTTTACTGAAAATGTATAAGGTAGACTAAAGGATTGTGGTTGATAAAAAGATAATACTTGTTGAGAAGGATTTTTATGACTCCATGAAACCAAATGAAAACAGCTATCCAACCCTTTTCTAAAAAAATATTATTCTAGTAATATTTTATAAAATCTTACCTGAAATAAGAATGATCTTTGACTATTTAATTTGGGATATTTGGGTTTTAAACTCTTTAAAATCTTTGAACATTCTTGAGAATTTGAGATTTTCAAATGATGTCCTAAGTCACTTAAATGGACATGTGTTTAAGGATGTTCTTTTATAGATTTATGTTTCTAATTTAGTTGAGGTCTAAATGATAACATTTTATTTTCTATACATAACCACATAAATTACAAAATAGCTGATAATTATGCTTCACCACCATATATTTAAATTTATTTTCTGCAGACAGAGAGTCCTGCAGAATGAAATTATTCAAAGCTATGCCAGGAATATTAAAATTCATTATCAAGTGTAGAACAGCATAAACATGCAAGCATGAAGTGCAGTTAACACTTCTAGTGAGGGGGCTGTCCTGTCTCATTAGCATTCTTGATATGTAGTTGTTCTGTTGGTGGGGGTGTTGAACAGGAATGTCATTGTGCTGAGCCCCAGTGTTTGGGGACAAACACTGCTGTGGAAGGAACGTGTGAAAAGGCCATGGTACCGTCAGTGAATGAGGAAGGCTGTGCGTTCCCTGTGCTTCAAGCAGGGAAGCTGTCATTCACAACCCCAGCACAGCTAAACAGAGGCCAAAGACAGGCTGAAATACCTTTTTAAATGATATTAATGGTTCGTAACCATTTTTGTCCTTTAGAATCACACAGTAAATAATTAGTTCTGTCTGTCACTAAGATCAATGAGACACACAACATGGATAAGGTGATACAAAGGGTAAGTGGCAGATCCAGTAAAAAAATATTGCTGTAGCCATTTTGTATCTCTCATTCTCTGGGATAAAAATAGCTCCAGTTCTGCATAACAGACTAAAACTATATTACAGGACAAAAGAAAAATACAGTATCTCCAGTTCATTGAGGTCTTTAAAAGTTTTTCAAAGCGACCCAAATATCTCTATTGATCATAACAAAAAAAGTAGAACTGTTATAAAACTCAAATATTTTTCAGTTATGCATTTTGGATGTAGGCCAATAGTTTGTAATGTGGAAAGCAGAGACAAACAGATATATAATCAGCATATTAAACTATATTCCAAGGAATTAGTTTAATATGCCAAATATTTTTTAAAAAATTAAGGTGGGAAATTTATCCTTCTATTTTTTTAAAAAAACTGACAACAGTGGCAAGATTTTCTGTGGCTGCAAACCCTATTCATTATAATGAAAATATTAAAGCAATCATAGTACAACTATTTTAATTTGCATGCAAATTATTTTTTTCTAGATGCAGCTTTTACATTATTTGACATTTTATAACCCATGATCTACAGCCAATGTTCTTAAATACTTGCCTCTGATAATGTTGGTTAGGCATGGATACCAAATGTACTTCATAACTTCCCTGTTTTATAACCTCAGATGGTTTGATTACTTCATAGGCTATCCCTGATAACAGCTTTACATTAGTATCCTGTTGAGTTTATTACTGTATAGTCTTACACTACATAGTCTTGTTTGTACATTACAAATAATTACACTTGCTCCTTTGTATTACATTTTAGTTTAGAAGGAAATGTTCTTTAATGGTTGTGCCCTGTTGAAATCATTTAAAATTGTGATAAATTCATTGTGATAAATTGTTGTTTGAAACTAAATTTAGAAAGTTGGTGAGTATTATGATTTTTCTGTATACAATAGAAACATGGGAACAATCACAGCAATCCTTGGGTCTGTGTGATATGGCCTAGGAAGAACAAGAGGGGCTTCATACAATAATGGGCTATTAAAATAAACTTTTTTGTTGAACTGCCAGACTTTATAGCAAACCTGTAATTTAACATGCTAGACTTTTATTAAAATAACCTCAAAATTGTGTTTCTGTAATTCTGAAATTGAAAAAATATACTTTCTCAATAGGTTTCACTAAGTTATTTTTAACATGTTAAGTTGCTTTATAGGTGGGAGCAGTGCCTAAACATTTTCATGCAACCAAGCTGCATTCTAGTTACTAGAAGTATTTTAAGAACCTTAAACTTGTGTCTTTTCCAAAGTGTCATGCCTTGAG